GGAAAATTTACTTGGGAGATGGAATCCAAGTCCAAAGGGGGCAGGGCAGAATCAGAGCGAATTATTCATAGAGAAGATGAATAGTTGGTGCCACGGGCAGCGGGGCAGCGGCAACTCTCAAAACCACACCAGGCAGGGAGAGGGGTGGGGCTTGCAGGGCATCAGCATCTACCCATTTTGTACTTGAGAATACGGAGGTCCAGTAGGTGCCTTGGCTACTGAGGGATGGAGCCGGGACTCACACCCAGGCTTTGGGACTTCTGTGTCCTCCCCTCAGCACAGCTGGGCTCCCACAGCCTGGCAGCTCCCCTAAGAACGTCCCCAGCCCTGGCGGCCGGCTCCATTTTCGGATGTCACTTAGACCCAGGTCCTCCTCCTAGGGCCACACAGCTTCCCCCAGTAACCCCGAGGCCTCCCTGGTGAGGAGCAGGAGCCACTAGAGTCCCAACCACAGTGGCTGCAGCTCCTGGGAAGGTACCTCTCTTCTGCAGATGATAACAATAAAGCAAGCTAATAGCCAGCATTTAATAAGGGCTTGCCATGTGTCAGGCACCGTGCCAGGCACTTTGCACCCATTAGCTCACAAAACAACTTTGTGCGGAGACACCACCATCCGCCTCTTATGGATATTGGACTCACAAGCTGAGGGAGGCAAGGTACCGTGCCCAGGGTCATAAAGCAAGTGGGTAGAGCGTCCGAGGCTTGAATTCAATTGGGTTTCAAGACTGTACTCCTAACTGTCCCCGACGCCCACCACACCTTCGAGGGTAACATGTCTCAAGTCCACATGCTGGTATCTCTGGCCTCCTGGGCACTGGAGCCGGGGGTAGGAGGCAGGGATTCTCCCAGGCTTCCATGGGGCTGCATCCCACCCCACCTGCAGGAGTCTGGGGCCCAGGAGCAAGGGGCTGTTGGCTGGATGAAGAAAGGGGGCTGGACATGCCCCCAGCTTGCAGGAGGAGGGGCAACTTCAAGGTCAGACTCCATCTGCCTGCCTGCTCCCTCCACCCCCATCCCTGCTTCACCTGCCACTGAGCTCCTTGGATCCCACCCCCAGACACACATACACACACCTCTCAGGCTTTCCCAGTCTCCCCAACTCCTACTCATCCTGCAAGTGCCAAGTGAAGAATCCCACCTCTCCTGGCACGCCTTCCTCCTGGACCATCCATCAGTAGCTCCCTTCTCCACAGCCCTTACAGCACCATCAGTGCAATTGGCCAGCTTTACTCTAGTCATCTCTATCCCCCACCCTGGTGCCTCAGCGCTCCGGTGCTTAGCTGCTCACGGAAAGGTTAGTGGCCCAACCCATCAGCCACTCCTCGGGAGGAAGATGTGGCAGCCGGCTCCCATGAAGATTGTGTGTGTGTGTGTGTGTGTGTGTTTTCCTCTTTGTCTGTGAGCTTGCTAGGAGTTGGAATTGACCCTGCCACAACAGAGGGTGTGTGTGTGTGTGTGTGTGTGTGTGTGT